GCAGCCACTTCAGTGGGAGTTTGATCCCCGGTCCTGGAGATGATTCACATGGCGTGGCAGACCCCTCCTGACCCACCCGCTGCTCCCCTCATCAGTGTACCTTGTCAATCTGCTTGTTCTCCTCCCCACTGTCTTTGGTGATTTTTCTCACCCCCCCCACACCTCTGTACTGTACTCCAGTTCTGTATGCATAAATAAATCTTAAAAAAAAAAAACAACAGACAACTGGTGCCAGTTTGCATGGTAGGGAGAGCAGATGTTGCTTATTTGTCAAACTTTTTAACAAAAATTAAAATCTCTGGGTAGTTGCTTCTCTCCCATGAGTCCCAACCACTCAAATTAGATCTTACACAATTAAAATCTAACTGGTATTAAAAGTAAACATTTTATTATATAACAGAAGTTAAGGTTTTTGAAAATCTGTATCAACAAAAAAAAAAGGCCATTCTGGGCACAGTAAGAAAACTCTACAGTCAAAACTACCTTTTATTTTCCTTAAAACATATGACTAAACCTGCTACAAACAGACCAAATCATGTCTTTATGTCTGTGGCAGCTGATCTCAGAATGAGCGATCAAACCATTGCTCTGATGGCAACTGGAGCAGATCAGGGGGAAGGTTCACAAGCAGGACGCTCAACTCGGGTCACAGGGCCATTTCTGATCCAGTTCTGGTCATTCTGACAAGTCACTCTGATCCAGCACGATTATCCTGTAAAGAAGTTGTTATTTTAGACAGAAATGTGAGTTTCAAGTTGCTGCACATTTTTTAAAGACACAAATGATAACCTCTTTCTATTCAGTTCACTAGAGAGAAAGGGACCTTGACCTTTACAATCAAGGGACATTATGATCAAAAACTGTATGATGGAAATGTAAAATGACTGCCAAAGGATAACCCGAGCTTTTGTATTCCCTCTCTCTGTCTAAACTGTTCTAGTGCTGACCCTATCAAAATTGGAATTATTTTCACCTTATATTTTAATTAACTAGAAACATTAACATTTTAAAAATTGAGCAACTGTGAATTCAAAGTGTTGCCATTAATGTTTATTTAGATGCTTGTAATTGTTTAAAGTCTGCTTATGTTATCTATGAAGGGTAAACCTTGACCTACAAACATCTGGTATCTCATTACCTGGAGGGTTCAGACCAACCCAGTCGCTTCCAAAAACAGGATTTTAGTTCATCTTGAGGAAAAATAAGGAAGAAGAAAAAAACAATCTGATTACTTCTAGGTGAAAGGGTGCTAGTGTTCCGAAGTCATAGCAGTGCCCTCTCGTTGAGGGTACACTGTTTTAGCTGTAACACAGGTAGGGCCTTCTAAAAACACAGTTAACGAGCCTCCCCTCCTGACAGTCTGAGCGCTCTGCCACAGCAGTGCACACCTAGGTGGCTGGCTGACAAAGTCCCTGCTTTATGTTCTCAGCTAACTCAGCAGCAGCTAAACGCTCATGGTGGGCCTGTGCCAGTTGAGTCCTGGAGGAAACGGAATGCACCCCTGAACTTTAATGACATCATAACTTACAGGGGTGTAGTCAGTGTTAAGGGCGCAATCAAGGGACCGCAGGGCATGCGGCAGCTAGCAGCAATGTGAAGCTGTGGTCACT